TTATCGGAAGACAGAAATGAAAATGCAATGGAGAAAATAAAGGATTTGATCACTAATAAATTGAACTTGCCTAACGTCATTATAGAAAATGTTCCTCGAACAGGTAAGCCTCGTGGGTCTAATGATAAACCTAGGCACATAGTTGCAAAATTTATTTACCGTCCTCAGCGCTACAAAGTTTTTACCAAGGCAAGAACTTTGCTAAAGGACAGCAATATTTTTGTCATAGATGATCTATGCGAAGCTGACTTACTTAAAAAACGTAGTCTCCGAGACGTGATGACAAAGGCTTATAGTGAGGAGAAGAAGCCATCAATCCGTAACGGAAACCTCTATATAAATGGACGGTTGCACTCCTAAAAGAAGTCGGATACGTGTACCGGTACTAGAACTATACAAAACTTAATATAAACATTATTATTTATTTATGAAGCTTTTTGTTAAGGGGGCTATTAGCCTAAAGATCTGTGCTCTGCGCAGCACATGATTTTATTATAGCCTCCCCCACATATATTTTATATTTTTATGTTATTTGTGGAAAATGAAAGATATCTGGAAAAAAAAACCCAGCATGTCTTACCGGCTTTATCCATTTCTTTCACCTTTTCAATCGATAATGAACTCCCTAGTTTTCCTTGACCAACCACTCTAAAATATTGACCATGCAAATGCACAGGATGGCTGGCGTCAAATGCAAAACCTTCATCTACGACGATCATCTCAACAACCTAAATAGAACAAATTCAAAATCAAATACAATATCTGCAACATTTTAAGTAGTGATGTTGTTTTAGCAAGGCGTTCTCTCTGGGATTGGTTTTTAATATTCTTAACTAAAATAATTAGAATTATAATTTAGGCATACATTTTTTTTTTGTATCAGGCTAACAAATCTGAAACCTTTCGAAGGTTCGAAACTCATTCTATTTCATCCACAAATAACCTTTCGTTTTAACCAAAAATAAATGATATTGCATAGGCCTACAAATTCAAGTCATTTTCCATGCAACCGTCGGATTGATGTGTTCTTTTGCTACTAAAAATTTAAGTTTATCTTTCATTTAAACAGTACCGAAATATTTTAGTCCCCTATATATGTAAAATAATTTACGTTTAAAACCCTCTGAATACAATATCCGAGAATATAAATTTAAACCCAAGTACAATTGATGTGGTCTTACATCGCCTATACCAACTGTAAGAACGTATGTACACTCGCAATATTCAGCAGAACAGTTCTTCGTGCCTGCAAACGTTTGTTCGGTACACAACTCTCCTTCCAAAATGTCACTGGCTTGGCTAAGTGGTGGAGATGACGGGAAAGCGAAGCTAATATGATTGAACTGTGGTGAGTACAGATGGTGGGATCGATCGATCTCTTCAATAGGGTAGTACTCTGGATGGTGGAAATGATAATTGTTTACTTTGTTGAAATCCATCGCAATGTAGAATTTATGATCTGGTTCTTGTTGTAGCAGAGCTTGGTCTTCTGGTTCTTCAATGTCCTCTATAAAGATAATAATATCACATTAAAACCTTTATTC